CACCATGCCCAGCTAATTTTTTGTATTTTAGTAGAGACGGAGTTTCGCCATGTTGACCTGGATGGTCTCGATCTCTTGACCTCGTGATCCACCCGCCTCGGCCTCCCAATGTGCTGGGATTACAGGCTTGAGCCACCGCGCCGGGCTCTCTCTGATATTTCATATCCAATCTGTTGGCAAATCCTGTTGACTCTGCCTTCAAAATATATTCAGGATCTGACCGTTTCTTAGCCATTGCTACTGCCCTGGTGTAAACCATCAGCATCTCTCACCTGGGTCATTGCTGTCACTCCTAACTGGTCTCCTTGCTTCTGACCTTGCCCTCCTGTACTCTTCTCATCATAGCAGCCAGCATGCTCCTCTTATAGCAGACCAGCGTGTGCCATTCTTCATTTAAAATTCTCCCATAGCTTCCCAGGTCATTCAGAGTAAAAGCCACATTTCTCAGTGCCCTTATAGTACCCTGATTACAATCTAATCTCTACTATTATTCCCCTTCCTCATGCTGCTGCAGCCACTGGCCTTCCTGCTGTTCCTTATACCTGTCAGGTACATTCCTGCTTCAGGGTCTCTGCATTTGCTGGTCTGTCACTAGGTAGACTCAGCATGAGAGATCCACGTGGTTTGCTTCGTTGCTGCCTTTAGATCTTTGCTCAAATATAATCTGCTCAGTGAGGCTTTCTCCAGCCGCTCAATTTAAAATTACATTCAGGGTGCCAAGACTTTGTCCTCTATGCCCTAAGGTTTCTGGACCTTCCAGGTAGGAGCCGAGAACCCTTAGTTGGTCCCTCTAACTTGCATTTCTCCCCATCCCTCAAGCAATTCTTATCCTCCTTTCCTGTTTGATGCTTCACTGTGGCATATATTACCATCTGATGTACAGTGTATTTTGTTTTATTTAAAATAAAATTTTATTTTGTTTGCTGTTACTTTCTGTTTCTTGCCACTGGAGCATAAGCTCCATGAGGGGGGATTCTTGTCTTCATGGTTCATTGTTATGTTCTCACCACCTGACATATAGGCATATAATAAATATGAATGAATGAATGAACGAATGAATGGATTCCTAGTACTTCTTGCTTCTCTTTCTATCGTAGTTATTATGATTATGATACAGTACTTAGTGTGTCTCTACCTCTAGAACGAAACAAAGAAACCTGCGTTTTTTGGCCTGGCGCGGTGCGCACGCCTGTAATCCCAGCACGTTGGTAGGCTGAGGCAGGCGGATCATTTGAGGTCAGGAGTTGGAGACCAGCTTTGCTGGCCAACATGGTGAAACCCCATATCTACTAAAAACAAAACAAAACAAAAATACAAAAATTAGCCAGGTGTGGTGGTGGGCGCCTGTAATCCCAGCTATTCAGGAGGTTGAGGCAGGAGAATTGCTTAAATCCAGGAGGCAGAGGTTGCAGTGAGCTGAGATCACGCCACTGCACTCCAGCCTGGCAACAGAGTGAGACTCCCTCTCAAGAAAAAGCAAGCTGTATTTTTGTGTTGCTCACCTTATATCCCCTGCACTTAGTAGGTGCTCCAAATATACCTTTGCTGTATGAATCAAGCTTTCTGAGATGCTAATCTGAACATCTTCACTCTACTTCTGCCTTTAAATCCTATTGCCCTCAGTATCAAACCTGAATCTCCTTAGCATGTCATAATCAGCTTCCCCTTGTCTCATGTCTTGACACTTTTCTACCCCTTCCACATCGAAGACCCAGCCTTTCTTGAATATGCCATGCTCTCTCACTTTCAGGCCTTTGTACTCACTGTTCTCTTCTTGGAAAGCTCCACCTGACTAACTCCTACTTATCCTTTAGGGCTCAGCCGAGGTCACATTTTCTGGGACGCTTTCCAGACCCTTAAGGTGAGCTTGTGTCAGTGGGGGTGGGTACAGAGCCCATCTCCAGCTTAGTCCTGCCCAGACTTCTGCTGACATCTGATTGTTTTGTGTTGGCCACAGAGGTTGAAGATTAGCTCAGACAGAATGTTGATGATGTAGAACGTAGAGTAATGAGAATGGCAGTGAGTGAAATGGAGGTTGAGGCAACTAAAAGCCAGCATGGGCTCTGGGCTGTCAAGACATTGTTCTCTATGCCCTGAGGTCTCTGAGCCTTCCAGGCAGGAGCCAAGAACCCTTGGTTGGTCCCTCTGACTTGATTTTTCCTCGTTCCTCTCTCTCAGGGGGGGATGTTACCATCACTGACCTGCCCCTGGCCATAGAACAGATCCAGGGCAACGTCCAGGCCAATGTGCCGGCTGGAGCCCAGGCCCAGGTGCGTGCCTTGTCCTGGGGGATTGACCACCATGTCTTCCCTGGAGACTATGACCTGGTGCTGGGGGCTGATATCGTGTACCTGGAACCCACCTTCCCACTGCTGCTGGGGACCCTCCAACACCTGTGCAGGCCCCATGGCACCATCTATCTGGCCTCCAAGATGAGAGAGGAGCACGGGACGGAGAGCTTCTTTCAGCACCTCCTGCCCCAGCATTTCCAACTGGAGCTGGCTCAGCGGGATGAGGATGAAAATGTCAACATCTATAGGGCCAAGCACAGGGAACCAAGACCTGCTTGACATCGCTCCTGCTGTTCTTCTCCATCTCTTGTCCTAATGAAGGAACTGTGTATCTCAAAAACCATATTTCCAGAGCCACAAACATGAGGACCAAAAAGGATGGATTTCTCTGGCCTCTGTCACTTTCCTCCTTCCCTCTTTATTAGCTCAGATTCTCCTGGGCAGGTGCAGTGAGGTGCCTGCTTACAGGGAATCCCAGAGCTCTGGCAGCACTAGTGTTAGAACACCAAGGAGGTTCCAGCTCCTGTTCTCAGAGGAGGAGGATGGTATGGTATCCAGGATTTTTAGAGGGTAAGGGAGGTATATGGGATGTGAGAGCAGTGGTTGTAGAGAGAATGTCACTGATCACTTCCATTGCTGTTGCTATTTATACAGAACGGACTTTAAAAGTTATATGGGATTTTTCTTCTTTTTTTTTGAGACAGGGTCTCACTCTGTCACACAGGCTGGAGTGCAGTCACTGCAGCCTCAACCTCCCAAGGCCCAGATTATCCTCCTGCCTCAGCTCCCAAGTAGCTGGGACTACAGGCATGCGCCACCATGCCTGGCTAATTCTTGTATTTTCAGCAGAGACAGGGTTTCGCTATGTTGCCCAGACTGGTCTCAAACTCCTGGGCTCAAGTGATCCACTCGCCTTGGCCTCCCAAAGTGCTGGGATTACAGCCACGGGCCACTGTGCTTGGCCAGGATTTTTTTTTTTTTTTTTAAAGAAAGAATTGGCCGGGCATGGTGGCTCAAACTTGTAATCCCAGCACTTTGGGAGGCCGAGGCGGGTGGATCACGAGGTCGAGAGATCGAGACCATCCTGGTCAACATGGTGAAACCCCATCTCTACTATAAATACAAAAAATTAGCTGGGCATGGTGGCGCGTGCCTGTAATCCCAGCTACTCAGGAGGCTGAGGCAGGAGAATTGCCTGAACCCAGGAGGCGGAGGTTGCGGTGAGCCGAGATCACGCCATTGCACTCCAGCCTGGGTAACAAGAGCGAAACTCTGTCTCAAAAAAAAAAAAAAGAAAGAATGAAAGAAAGAATTAAGCCTTAAATATCTCTTGTGCAGGAACTCAGCTTTTGCTCAGGAGCTGAGAAGGAAGAAGCCTCTTACCACCCATTTTCTGGTTTTCAGAGATAGAGTCTGGTGGGACCATGGCTCTAACTGAGTCAAGTCCTCTGAGCTCTGAAGCTAAGGCTGCAGAGCTGTCCTTTGCAGTATAGTTTTCTCATGCTTTTCAGAGCTAGAGCCTTGATCATAGAACATCATGTTGTGGACCAAAAAGGGAGGATTTTAGTACTTAGTACTGGACTGAGTACTAAGTTCCTTTCATCTTTGATTTTTCTTTAGCTTCATCAGTCCTTTCTTCCGAATCTCGAATTCCCTGAAGCCTAACACAGTTCCTAATGTGTTTTGCCTTCACCTCTCTTCTCTTCCCACACTGATACTTCTGATTGGGGTTCTTTACTTACTGCTTAGGCACATAGTCACCTTCTCTGGACTCTCTGCCTCCATGCTTTCTCCTTCAGTCCATTCTGCAAACTCTCATGATCTTCCAAAATTAGCTCTGATTAGCTTTCACTGCCTATAGAAGCAAGAACAAGCTCCTCTGCTTGGTATTTAGTCTGTGTCCATGTGATCCCAAATTACCTTTCTACTGCATTTCCTACTCCTTTGCTACATGTTTTGGACCTTTGGCCAAATTACAAAAGATGGACTCTGTTCTCTAAATCCACACTAAAGTTTCCTGACTTCTTTCTCACTCTTTATGATAATCCTCTGCCTGAAAGGCTATTGCCACCTGTCAAAATCTTCATTATTCTTTGTGTCTTTCCTGAGCCTCTTGCTTGGATGTGATTTATTTCTCCCTGAGACCCTTTAACTGTTTGTGCATCTTGTGGGACCTTACTTTGTGTTGCATGGACACTTGTGATTCTCATTTTCTCACCATTAAATTACCTTAAAGGGTAGGGCTGTTGTTTACTCATCTCTAATCCCCTGAGGCCTAATACAGTTCCTGGCACACAACAAGTGTTCAACAGATATTGTGTTCATTCAACAAATATTTACTCGCTTTGTTAAATGGACTCCACTTCTGCTTTCCTAGGTGACCTTGGACAAATTCCTGAACCCATCTACCAACCTCACAAGTTTGTTGTGAGTTGTTATAATGAATATAAACGCGCATTGAAAATAAACATAAAATGTTACCCACATTTCTTGTGTTGTTGTTTTGTGACAACTTTATTTCTTGGTTTCCGTTATTTTACCTAGGGTGGGAGGTGCCGGAGGGGTGGGGTGGGTGGTAATTCCCGTTTGAAATGTGTCGTGTAAAGAAATCAAGTAGAGGAGGGAACTGTGTACCTCCAGCCAGCAGGTGGCACCATCTTCGTTTGGTGCGTTCCGGTGGAAAATATTGGCCCTTCCGCCGCGCCGTAGGTTTGTCGCTTCACCGGTGCGCCCGCAGGAGGGAGTGTACTGCAGCCCGGGAGATGTGGATGCTGCGGTCACTGCGCGTGTTCCTGGTCGTGCGGACCGGGAGCCACCCGGTGAGATGGCCTGGTCCTGGTGCCGACCTGCGCAGCCCTGCTGTGCGCCTGTACCTTTCCCTTCCTCCCAGCCCCATGTGACTCCATCCCACCTTCCCCGACAGCGTTGCCTCTGCCCCGTCCAGCCCCAGTGCATCCCTCCTTTCCACACTTTCCGCTCCCTAAAGTCTCCTCCCTGCCTGTGTGCCCTCCACCCGCAGGAGTTCCTGCTTCTCATCCCTTTCTTAACCCCCTCCAGGCCGGGTCCCTTCTGCGTCAGTCGCCCCAGCCACGGCACACATTTCATGCTGGGCCATGTCTGTCGGCCTCGACCTCCAGCAAGGAGCTCCTCATGAAACTGCGGCGGAAAACAGGCTACTCTTTTGTAAATTGCAAGAAAGCTCTGGAGACTTGTGGCGAGAACCTTGAACAGGTGTGTGTGTGTGTGTGTGTGTGTGTGTAGGGGCGAAGGGCGGAGTATTAAGAGTTCCGTGTGTGCGTGTGCGTGTGCGTGTGTGTGTGTGTGGGGGGGCGAAGGGCGGAGTATTAGAGTTCCACTATGTGTGTGTGTGTGTGTGTGTGTGTGTGTGTGTGTGTGTTTGTGTATAGGGGTAAAGGGCGGAGTATTAAGAGTTCCACCTCAGGCTCTTGGGGCGGTCAGGCTAGGGAGCATAAAAGACCTGCTTGTCCAGTGTCAATAATGACACACCCATAGGTGGAAATCTGGGTTAAATGACAACTTTGGCCTTGACATTGTCTTATTTGGAAGCAATTGAATATCCAGAATTAAACTCTATTGCATGCAAGACTGTTACGGTGTTTTTTGTTGCCTGGAGCTGAAAGGGTTTGTGCAAGCTTTGGAGTCAAACCCATAAGGAGTTAAATTTTGGTGCCATCACACTAACTGTCTGACTTTACACCATCTTAATCTTTCAGAGTTGGGTAGTTTTCGTCTGTACAGCCATGCGCCTCTTAAGTAGGAAGATACATTCTGAGAAATGCATCATTAGGAGATTCTGACTTATGCACATCATAAAGTACTTACACAAACCTAGGTGGTACAGTGTACTACAACCTAGGCTATGGGGAATAGCCAGTTGCTCCTGGGGTACAAGCCTTTACAGATTGTTACTGGACTGAATAAGCAATTGTAACACGGTGGTAATATGTATCTAAATGGAGAAAAAGTACAGTAAATAGGTATAAAAGATGAAAAATGATACATCTCCATAGGGAACTTAGGTATGGAGCTTGCAGGACTGGAAGTTGCTGTGGGTGAGTCAGTGAGTGGTGAGTGAATGTGAAGGCCTGCCTTAGGACACTGTGGTATAACTACAGTAGACTTTATAAACACAGTACATGTAGGCTACATTAAATTTATAAGAAATTTTTTTTTCAATCATAAATTAACCTTGATGTAATATTTTTCTTTTGTAAACTTTATTTTTATTTTTTTACCAGGAACATCAGCAAAGGGGATATTTTATAAACTGTTAACATGTTTTAAACTTTTGGACCCTTGTAATAACAGCATAAAACACATATTGTACAGCTGTGCCAAAATGTTTTTCTTTATGCACCTATTCTATGAGCTTTTCTCTGTTTTTAAAATTTTAAACTTTTTTTAACTTAAAAAGTTGTTTTGTTAAAAACTGAGACACTAACACATACAGCTTAGGCCTACATAGGAGCAGGGTCATCAGTAACACTGTGTTCCACTTCCACATCTTGTCCCGCTGGAAGGTCTTCAGGGACACTAACAGTCAGGCATGGACCATCATCTCCTGTGATAACAGTGTTTTATTCTGGAATACCTCCTGAAGGACCTGCCCGAAGCCGTTTCACTGTTAATTTTTTTTTTTTTTTTTTTGAAATGGAGTCTTGCTTTGTCACACAGGTTGGAGTGCAGTGCGCAATCCATCTTGGCCCACTGCAACCTCCGCCTCCTGGGTTCAAGAGATTCTCCTGCCTCAGCCTTCTGAGTAGCTGAGACTACAGGTGTGCGCCACCACACCTGGGTAATTTTTGCATTTGTAATAGAGACAGGGTTTCACCATGTTGGCCAGGCTGGATTTGAACTCCTGGCCTCAAGTGATATACTGGACTCAGCCTCCCAAAGTGCTAGGATTACAGGCATGAGCCACTGTGCCTGGCCTAAATTTTTTTTTTTTTGTAAGTCGGAGTACACTCTAAAGTAACAATAAAGTATATAGTATAGTAAATACATAAGACAGTAACATAGTGGTTCATTATTGTTTCAAGTATCACGTACTGTATGTGATTGTGCATGCTATACTTTACTAGGACTGGCAGCACAGAAGTTTTCTTTACACTAGCATTGCCACAAACATGTAGGTAATACATTGCCCTACAGTGTTAGGAGGGCCACAGTGTCACTAGACAATAGGAATTTTTCAGCACCATTATAATCTTATGGGACCGTCACCATCTGTGCTGTCTGTCATCGCCAGAAATACTGTTATGTGGTGCATAACTGTATAAAGAAAATACAACTGTGTGCCCCACGGTGGTGTTATGAAAATTAAATTGATCCAAGGCACCAGGTATAATAATACCGGATATTTGGCATTTAGTGGTAGACTGCCAGTAAATGAGAGATTACTTTAGTTTCTATTAGAGAATTTAGGGGAAGCAGAATCAGGAAACCTGAGCACATCTTAGAACTATATGTAGTTCTAAATTCTGTGACTTTGTTGTCTGCTCTTTTTCTTCTCAATATATAGGCAGAGATCTGGCTCCACAAGCAGGCCCAGAAGGAGGGCTGGAGCAAAGCTGCCAAGCTCCAAGGGAGGAAGACCAAAGAAGGGCTGATTGGACTGTTGCAGGAAGGAAACACAACTGTATTAGTAGAGGTGAGTTGTTGGAAATTCCAGACACCAAGAACGATGTCCCTTGGGTGTAAAGCTTGTAGTAGGCTCTTTATATTCTTGAAAAAGAAATCTGTTTGAGAACCATAAAGGGTAGTTGAAGTTAAACTCATGAAACCTCTGGTATTAGTTACAAATTCATTTCAGTATAAAAATGTACTGGTGTGTTGATGAGAAATGGCCTGCAGTCTAGAATATTAGTCCTGAATGTGAGTCTGGTGCAGCCTTACACTTTGTCACTGATTATTTCCCGGAACCGTTAGATTACAAAGTTAATTATATTAATTGTTGCTGAATAGAGAGCAGCTATTTTAGAGGAGGTTTTGGGGCCTTAATTGGTGAAGAATCAGATGTGGATTAGTTTAGAGCAGGCCCAAACTATGGCCCTCGGGCCACATGCGGCCCCCTGAGGCCATTTATCCGGCCCCCTGCTGCACTTCAGGAAGGGGCACCTTTTTCATTGGTCAGTGAGAGGAGCACAGTATGTGGCGGCCCTCCAACGGTCTGAGGGACAGTGAACTGGCCCCCTGTGTAAAAAGTTTGGGGACGCCTGGTTTAGAGTGAGAGATGGGGATAAACAAGGTAGTAGCGCAAGTGGTTTGGAGTTGGAGGGGCTGGAGAATGAGGTGATGATGGTGTGCAGTCATAGATGAGTGGTGAACTTGTGGTGGTGAGTCCTTCAGGACATTATTGAACCATCCTCTGAATATACAGGCTATTGCTAACTCACTGGCCCAGCATGAATCACTTCATTCTGTTTCAAACTAGGAGAGGAACTGTTAAATTTTTGGAGTCATTTTTTTCTGTTCAGTTTGCAGCTTGTTCTCTCAGTATCTTATTTTACTCTTCAGCCTTAAGGCACTTTTGGAAACTATCATTAAACAGCTTATACAGCAACATCAATTTGTTCCCGCAGGTAAACTGTGAGACGGATTTTGTTTCTAGAAATTTAAAATTTCAACAGTTGGTCCAGCAAGTAGCCCTTGGAACCATGATGCATTGTCAGAATTTAAAAGATCAACTGTCTACATACAGTAAAGTGAGTTTGGGGTTTGTCTCTAGTGTGCTAAATTTGCTGTCCTCTTTGGGTCTTTGCTGTTCCTTTTTTAGACATTCTCATGTCTCATTCCCTTCTCATCGCTGCTTAAGTGCTGTCTCTTTGCATAGGATTACCCTTTTCCCTATTGCTATATCCCCTTACCATGCTTCATTTAAAATTTTTTGTTATGGTGCTTATATATTACATTTTAATTTACCTATATGTTATCTGCCTTCCCCAGTAGAATATAACCTTTTTTTTTTTTTTTTTTTTTTTTTTTGAGACAGAGTTTCGCTCTTGTTACCCAGGCTGGAGCAATGGCGCAATCTCGGCTCACCGCAACCTCCGCCTCCCGGGTTCAGGCAATTCTTCTGCCTCAGCCTCCTGAGTAGCTGGGATTACAGGCACGCGCCACCATGCCCGGCTAATTTTTTGTATTTTTAGTAGAGACGAGGTTTCACCATGTTGACCAGGATGGTCTCGATCTCTCGACCTCGTGATCCACCCGCCTCGGCCTCCCAAAGTGCTGGGATTACAGGCTTGAGCCACCGCGCCCGGCTAGAATATAACCTTTAAGAAGCAGGGAATTTGTCTTTTCACTACTTGGTGAAAGAGAATTGGGCCCACTACTTAGTTGGAGCTCAATCAATCTTTTTCAGATGAATGCATGAATGAATGCCAGTGGAATGAATGGAGTTAGCTGCATCAAGTGAAGCTATCTGAGGCTTTGTATTTATAAATTTGGAATGGTTTTTTTTTTTTTTTTTTTTTTGTCTTTTTGAGATAAGGTCTCACTCTGTTGCCCAGGCTAAAGTACAGTGGTGCAGTCTCAGCTCACTGCAACCTCTGGTGCCAGGTTCAAGCGATTCTCCTACCTCAGCCTCCTGAGTAGCTGGGATTACAGGTGCCTGTCACAGTGCCAGGCTAAATTTTTTTTATTTTCAGATGGAGTTTCACTCTCGTTGCCCAGGCTGGAGTGCAACGGCACGATCTTGGCTCACCACAACCTCCGCCTCTCAGGTTAAAGCAATTCTCCTGCCTCAGCCTCCCAAGCAGCTGGGATTACAGGCATGCACCACCACGCCTGTCTAATTTTTTGTTTTTAGTAGAGATGGGGCTTCTCCATGTTGGTCATGCTGGTCTCAAACTCCCGACCTCAGGTGATCTGCCTGCCTCGGTGTCCCAAAGTAAGCGTGAGCCACCATGCCCAGCCTGGAATTGTCTTAGGAGAGAATTTCTAAATAAAGAGATTGGAAAAGGCACAATTTAGGAAAATAAGCATATTCTTATCCATAGAGGCACCAACGAAGGAATTATATCATTCTGCCTTCGACTCAGGCTTATTGCCAAGGCAAAAATGAACTAACCACTCACAGTAACTTTTTTTAGTTTAAACCAACTTTTTAATCTTACTTATCCTTCTCTTGAGATGTCTTGGTAAATGTTAATTGTTATTGACATTACATAGTCATATAGAAAACAATGATAAGGTTTATCTTTTATTTTTTATTTTTTTGAGACAGAGTTTCACTCTTGTTGCCCAGGCCAGAGTGCAATGACACAATCTTGGCTCACTGCCATCTCTGCCTCCTAGGTTCAAATGATTCTCCCGCCTCAGCCTCCCAAGTAGCTGGGATTACAGGCATGCACCACCATGCCTGGCTAATTTTTGTATTTTTAGTAGAGATGGAGTTTCAACAAGTTGGTCAGGCTGGTCTTGAACGCCTGACCTCGTCATCTACCTGCCTTGGCCTCCCAAAGTGCTGGGATTATAGGTGTGAGCCACTGCACCTGCCTTTATTATTTATTTATTTATTTATTTATTTTTGAGGCAGAGTCTCACTCTGTCACTCAGGCTGGAGTGCAGTGGCACGATCTCAGCTCACTACAAACTCCACCTCGGTTCAAGTGATTTTCCTGCCTCAGCCTCCTGAGTAGCTGAGACTACAGGTGCCCACTACCACACCCAGATAATTTTTATGTGTTTAATAGAGACAGGGTTTCACCGTGTTGGCCAGGCTGGTCCTGAACTCCTGACCTTGTGATCTGCCCACCTCAACCTCGCAAAGTGCTGGGATTACAGGTGTGAGCCTCCGCGCCTGGACTTTTATTTTTTGAGACAGAGTCTCACTCTGTCACCCAGGCTGGAGTGCAGTGGCGCGATCTGAGCTCACTGCAACCTCCACCTCCTGGGTTCAAGCGATTCTCCTGTCCCAGTCTCCCTAGTAGCTGGGACTGCAGGTGCACCACCACACCCAGCTGATTTTTTTTTTTTTTTGAGACAGAGTTTCGCTCTTGTTACCCAGGCTGGAGTGCAATGGCGCGATCTTGGCTCACTGCAACCTCCGCCTCCTGAGTTCAGGCAATTCTCCTGCCTCAGCCTCCTGAGTAGCTGGGATTACAGGCACGCGCCACCATGCCCAGCTAAATTTTTTTTGTATTTTTAGTAGAGACGGGGTTTCACCGTGTTGACCAGGATGGTCTCGATCTCTTGACCTCGTGATCCACCCGCCTCGGCCTCCCACAGTGCTGGGATTACAGGCTTGAGCCACTGCGCCCGGCCTGATTATTATTATTTTTTTTTTTAAGAAGGAGTTTTACACTTGTTGCCCAGGCTGGAGTGCAATGGCGCGATCTTGACTCACTGCAACCTCCCCCTCCCAGGTTCAAGTGATTCTCCTGTGTCAGCCTCTCAAGTAGCTGGGATTACAGGCATGCACCATCACGCCCAGCTAATTTGTATTTTTAGTTGAGATGGGTTTTCTTCATGTTGGTCAGGCTGGTCTTGGACTCCCAACCTTGGGTGATCCACCCTCCTCGGCCTCCCAAAGTGCTGGGATTACAAGTGTGAGCCACCATGCCCAGCCAGTTAATTTTTAGTAGAGATGGGGTTTCACCATATTGGCCAGGCTGGTCTCAAACTCCTGACCTCGTGATCCACCTGCCTTGGCCTCATAAAGTGCTGGGATTACAGAGGTGAACCACTGTGCCCAGCCCCTTCTCCTTTTTATTTAGTAATTTATTCAGCACTAACATTGACTCATGGGTTTATTTTATACAATAAGCTATAATTCATTATTAATTTTGATGCTCAAATTATATGCAGATTTGACCAATGCAAGCTGACTCTAATGTTCTTGGATACGTCCTTATCATTTTCTGAGTATTTTCTTACATTTTGGCTTTTTTTGTTTATTCTTATTTTTGGGGTTTATGTCATACTTTCCTTTCCCCAACTGTGGAATGGGCCATTTCTTCAAGGAGTCCTGGTCCTTTTTAGCTGGGGAATAGCTTTTAGAAACCAAGATGTGAATGTTAAGTGTGCCTGTTTCTACTGGGAAGTCATTTGTTTTTTTCAGTGGCAAAGTACAGGCATGGGTGAATGTAGTTCAATTCTTCCTTTTTCATAGCAGCTTCAATATGTTTACTATTTTACCTATTTACTCAGTGTGACAATATATCTACAAAATTGTTTCCAAATTGCTACACCTGATCACTGCAAATAACAAAAATACTAAGGAGTTCCAGATTTTTTTGTAGTTCTTGTCTTTACATTGAAAGTTAGGGGGTCAAATGACTCTACTGAGTTATTTGGATTTTGTTTTCCTTCTGTGAGGTTTTGTTACTCATTTGAAACGTAGTTTTATATTTCTTTGTAGTCAGTGTTTATTTTCACACCAAATATGTGTTGACATTATTTTTTAAATATGTGGGTTTTTTATTTTTCTTTTTTGGTTGGGCATGGTGGCTCATGCCTGCAATCCTAGCACTTTGGGTTTTTTGGTTTGTTTGTTTATTTTTTAAATCTTTTTTATATTAATAGAGATGAGGTTTCACCATGTTGGCCAGGCTGGTCTCGAACTCCTGACCTTAGGGTGATCCACCTGCCTTGGTCTCCCAAAGTGCTGAGATTACAGGTGTGAGCCATCATGCCCAGCAAGCCAGATTTAATTTTATTTTTGAATACATAAAATACATTAATGAAGTCCTCAAAAGCACAGTGACTCTTGCCTGTAATCCTAGCACTTTGGGAGGCTGAGGTGGGCGGATCATGAGGTCAGGAGATCGAGACCATCCTGGCTAACACGGTGAAACGCTGTCTCTACTAAAAAAATACAAAAAATTAGCCAATGTCTTCGCTTGCGCCTGTAGTCCCAGCTACTTGGGAGGCTGAGGCAGGAGAATCGTGTCAGCCCGGGAGGCAGAGGTTGCAGTGAGCCAAGATTGTGTCACTGCACTCCAGCATGGGTGACAAAGTGAGACCCCATCTCAAATAAAAGAAAAAAAAAGTTAAAACTGTCAAAAAAAAAAAAAAAAGGATACTCAGAGAAATCTTAATGTTCCCATCCACCCCTTTAGATAACCAGTGTCATTGGATTATGGTTATCCTTTCAGTATTTCTTTTTGTAAAAATAAGCATATTTATACAAATACTTCTTTCTCGCACAAATAGTATACTATGTACAGTTATAATTTGCTTTTTTCACTTAATAATGTATCCTGGAAATATTCCATAGCAATTCATGAAGGTCATCCTTTTTATTTTTTCCAACTGCATAGTATTCTGTTGTGTGGATGTGCTATAGTTTATTCAACTAATCTCCTGTGTTTGGGCATTTAGACCATTTCTAAAATTTTATGATTGGAAATAATTGTTCAGTGAATAATCTTGTGCAGTATTATTGCAAGTATATCATCAAGGTAAAGCCTAGAAATAGGATTGCAGGGTCAAAGGATAAGTGCATAGGTACTTTTATTAGATATTACTCAATTTCTCACTATTGGATTTGTACCATTTTGCATTCCCATCAACAATCTGCAAGTCTAGCTCTAACATTTTATGGTTGTATGAAAATATTGGCTGGGCGTGGTGGCTCACGCCTGTAATCCAAACACTTTGGAGGCCAAGGTGGGTGGATCACCTGAAGTCGGGAGTTCAAGACCAGCCTGATCAACATGGTGAAACCCCGTCTTTATAAATAAAAAAAAGAAAAGAAAAGAAAAAAGAAAATTTTGTTCTTGACTGGACGCAGTGGCTCATGCCTGTAAACCTAGCAATTTGGGAGGTTGAAGCAAGTGGATCACTTGAGGTCAGGGGTTCAAGACCAGCCTGGCTGGCATGGTGAAACCCTGTCTCCACTAAAAAAGATACAAAAATTAGCCAGGCATCGTGGTGGATGCCTGTATTCCCATCTACTCAGGAGGCTGAGGCAGGAGGATCGCCTGAACTCAGGAAGTGGAGGTTGCAGTAAGCCGAGATCATGCCACTGCACTCTAGCCTGGGTTACAGAGTGAGACTCCATCTCAAAAAAAGGAAAATACTGTTCTTGACCAGGTGCAGTGGCTCACGCCTGTATTCCCAGCACTTTGGGAGGCTGAAGCAGGAGGAGGATCTCTTCAGCCAGGAGTTTGAGACCAGCCTGAGCAACATAGGGAGACCCCATCTCTGTATTTAAAAGAAAAAATAATTGTTCTTGATTTCTAGGAAATTACATCCTAAGAAGTTAGGCTGGAGGATGAGAGTGGAATGTAATTGGGGGTGGTCCAGTGATAGGATAAAATATTTATAAAGATAGAACTGTTACCAATTTTTACCATCCTTGGCTTAATGAAAATATTGTCTACACTTAGTTGTCTTAAATAATTTTCTTAGAAATAGACTATTTTTTCCTGTTCTCTTGATAATTTGAATAGTACAGAATCAGTTCATGTTTGTTTTCTTTGTACACTTAGGGTTTCTTGAATTCCTCTGAGCTTTCTGTTCTTCCGGCGGGGCCTAACAGAGAAGGCTCACTCCAGGATCACTTGGCTTTAGCAATTGGTGAGTATTTGTAAAGGTTCTGGAAACTGGAAATCTTGTTCCTCCAAATCTAGGTCAAGAATTGTGTGCCTACAAGGTCAGATGATATGAATGTTAGAAGTGGTTTGTTAGATGTTAGGGAACATTAGGCATCTTAAAGAGCTTATAGCCTGCTGGAGGAAGTCCCATTACCAAGCTCTAACCAGTTGTTACATCTAGGAAAACGGAGTCCTGGCATCATCAGAATTTCTAAATTTATTTATTTCTTTTTTTTTTTTTTTGAGACAGAGTTTCGCTCTTGTTACCCAGGCTGGAGTACAATGGCGCTATCTCGGCTCACCACAACCTCCGCCTCCTGGTTTCAGGCAATTCTTCTGCCTCAGCCTCCTGAGTAGCTGGGATTACAGGCACGCGCCACCATGCCCAGCTAATTTTTTTGTATTTTTAGTAGAGACGGGGTTTCACCATGTTGATGAGGATGGTCTCAATCTCTTGACCTTGTGATCCACCCGCCTCGGCCTCCCAAAGTGCTGGGATTACAGGCTTGAGCCACCGCGCCCGGCCAATTTCTTTAAAGCATTTAGAGTTGTATCCAAAATCTCATGCGTTTTGGCTGTTGGCAACTAATTAAAATTATTTTCATCAACTGTGCCAACAAAACAAAGCATGTCTTTAGGCAGAGATGGCCTTTTGACTTACAGCAGAGTACCTTTGTATACGCTATAGGGAACATAGTTCATTAAAGATGATTTCCTTTTCTTTATAAAGGGTTACAGGACAATTAAGGGACATCGTATTTAGGAATTTTATCTTTCTTTTGAAAAAAAGCTGATTGTGAATTTATAAGGATACATTCTTTTAAAGCCTGCTGGCTGTAAGAACCACATGTGGATCATTGTGGCGGGACTAGTGGGGATCTTGCTTTCTTCCTAAGTATCCTTGATGGAGGGAGGGTGGTTGGAGCTTGCTGGGAATTTACTGTTCATCTGAAGTTTCCAGTCAAAGCATCAATTCTGTTTTAATCAGGTCATTTTGTATTATCTATGATGTTTCAATGAGTCATGGGTGAGAAACCAGGCAGACAGCTATGTATGGGGCTTATTAGGAAATTCTGGAAGAGCTGGGTGTTTTTAGCCTTGTCCATTTCTGGGAATTAACTATTGGGTAGATGCTTCGAGCTATTTTAAAATTCGTTTTGGTTTCTGGATTCTCCTTTTTCATGACTTTTAGATATTACTATGGCTAATCTAGGCATATTTATACAGGCCCTTTTGTTTATTCTCCTACCCCTTTCTACCTTTTGGCTTGTTTGGACTTCTGTTAGAAGGGAATAGCATCCTGAGAGAAAGGGGAAACATTACAATTACAGTCTGTTTAATGTTCTCATAAATAACTCTGAAAACGTTATCTTTTTATTTTTGATGAGAGGAAATTGAAACTATCAGATGACATGGGGCTTTGACTTTTTCCTGATACAGGGATGATCACGAGTTGTCTGTGTCAGTTATGGTATATTCAGGATGGTGGGAAAAAGCACTTAATTGCTTTGGAGTCAGATCTGAGTTTTAATTCTGGCTCTACCTTGTGTTGTTGGCTGGGTTACCTAAGTTCTCTAAACCTAAGCTTATTGTAATAATAGGTAGCTTTTGAGTGCTCGCTAGGTGCCAGATACTATACTTAATGCTTTTACATATATTATTTAGTTGGTGCTTCATAAAGGTGTTCTTCACTTACCCCACTCTCACCCCTCCCCCCATATCCCTTTTCCTCTTTATATAAAAGCCGAAAATGGTGTCTCTCCATCTTACCGCATATCCTGTGTAAATGCAAAGGGACTGTCTTCCGAACTGGGCCTCTTCTGTGCATATTTTGGTACAATCACAAACATCATAATTTGTTGGTGTGTTGGTTTTTTGTTTTTTGCTTTTTTTAATAGGAAAACTGGGAGAAAACATGACTCTTAAACGAGCTGCGTGGGTGAAGGTGCCATCTGGGTTCTACGTTGGCTCTTATGTCCACGGAGTAATGCAGAGTCCCTCCCTTCACAACCTGTTGCTGGGGAAGTATGGGGCCCTGGTCATCTGCGAGACGTCTGAGCAGAACGCAAACCTTGAAGAACTTGGCCGCCGCCTTGGGCAGCATGTGGTGGGCATGGCCCCTCTTTCTGTTGGCTCCCTGGATGATGAGCCTGGGGGAGAGGCAGAGACCAAGATGCTGTCCCAGCCATACTTGCTGGATCCCTCCATTACCTTGGGGCAGTATGTGCAGCCTCAGGGAGTGTCAGTAGTAGACTTTGTACGGTTTGAATGTGGAGAAGGTGAAGAGGCAGCAGAAACTGAATAGGTTCCAGAGACTTTTGGCCCAGGAGGAGTGCTTGTTTTTAGCTCTGGACATCATTACAAAAAGGATCTTTCCCAAGCCTTTTCAGACCCAGAATTTATTTTTCATTTGAATTATAATGAGATTATAGACTTCATAGGTACAATTATTAAATAGTTATATAATAAAAATTTTTTCCTTGTTTGCATAATACTGGGTTTAGCTTTTCTGTGTCTTACTTGTGACAGCTTTTGAAAATAACCTTATTGATAGGCCTTACTGACATGATTGACAGTGTCTCGGAGAACGGGCATCAACAATTCTGCTGCTCCCTTCAACATAGATTTATTATGGTATTTCTGAAATTTCTAACTTACGTGTTCTGTCTTATCCCTTTTATGACACAGAACTCTTTTGTTCTGCTTTCATTTTGCAACACTGGACCATGCTTCTGCCTTGGAACCTCCCTAGTTATATTACTTCTGCCACATGGATTTCTTTGGGATTATTTATTCAAGCCTAGAGTTGTCTGGAAAATTTGGGTTCTTTTCTTTGTGGATGTCTGTAGCATGTTTTGAAGGCGCTCTGCAGTGGTAGACACACTGGTTTTGCTGTCATTTAATGAAATTAATAACATATGCGCCCCTGTTTATCTTTTGGATGATGTGGTGTGGCTGGGTGGGTACTGAGGTTTCCTGGCCAGCTATAAGGCAGATTTTGACATACTTGTGCCAGAAACAGAAATTGGAGTAGTCCATTTATCCAGAAACCTCACTTAACATTGCCTTTTTACTTCCCCAGTACTGAAACGTTTCTTCCAATGTAACATAAAATTACTGTAACGAGCAAACCCTAAATACTGAAAATAACTTCATTTGTTCATTATAGGTATCTTCATTTGGAAAGTTAAAAATGCTTTGACACATAACAGATCTGGCCATTTGGATTTCGACCTTGGAGTCTATATATGATTTCAATGATTTGCAGGTTAAATAGATTTTAGAAATAATGATCTTAAAATTTAAAACTAAGGTAGGTCCTGGTATAATATTAAACATAAAAAAAAGTTATTAAACATTTTAAGTCTTGTTTTTTGGTTCTCTTTCTTCTAATTTTTCCAGATTTCTGCAGTTTTAGTGCTTTCTGCTGAGGCTTTAGCTAGAGGGCCACAGAACCCAGAAAGTGTGTGGTTAACATTTTAGGTATATAACAACCAAGGAATGCAAAGTGAGAAAAAATGGAGAACACGCTGTGATTTGCAGACTCTATTATATCTAAATTAGGTAGCTGAATGTCAGGCAGAAATTGGTAGATAAATTCTTTGTTGATACTGGCACTGTCTGCTCTCTTCTGTGGCCTTACAGTAGGCATAGGCCTTCTTGCTTTAGAAAAGCCCCTTTTCTTTCTTCATTTGGAGCTGTTTCCAGCCAGGCAGAGCAGCAAATTGTCCTCTTGTGATGCCAAAGACAGACACAAAGTCGGGTTCAGAGAGGTAATTCTAAAAGAGAAAACAAAGTTTCTAGTTAGAAGGAAGACATGACATCATTGCTAACAGAGGTGGGGAAAGTCAGAGCAAGAGGGAGTTCTAGGTGGATCCTTGAAAAGGGAAGTAGAATGAATTTCTCAGAAAGGCTCTTAGAGATTTAAATTATTCATTGGAGAGGTGTTCTTCAGGTCACAGAGTCCCATTTCAGCCTGCTGCAGAAGCTTACTGGATTTATTGCACTCACAGTGCCAGCAAGGACCAGTTTCTTGCCAGAAGACAATAAATGGGTTATGTATTAAGGATGAATTATAGACATCACATTTTGGCAGAATGAATAACTAAATTGAGCCAAAGTTTTCTGCCCATAACCACCATTTTTACCCAGAAATTTTCAAATGCATGATTGGGTGGATCTTATTGAGCTCAGAATTCTCCTAAACATTTACTTAATGATGTATTGCATATATGTATACAAGTAAAGATTATTAATATATGGTCTCTGCTTTCAAGAAAATGGTAGTCCAGATACCTAAGAGTTGCCTAGATAAGACATTGTGGGACATCCATAGTCCCTTCCCAAGTCAACTTCTTCAAGGGGAAAATACATTCTTTTTTTTTTTTTTTGAGATGGAGTCTCACACCATCACCTGGGCTAGAGTGCAATGGCACAATATCGGCTCACTACAACATCCATCTCCCTGGTTCACGCAATTCTCCTGCCTCAGCTTCCCAAGTAGCTGGGATTACAGGCACATACCATCCCATCTGGCTAATTTTCTGTGTTTTTAGTAGAGACAGAGTTTCAATATGTTGGCCAGACTGGTCTTGAAATCCTGACCTTGTGATCCTCCAGCCTTGGCCTCCCAAAGTGCTGGAATTACAGGTGTGAGCCACCATGCCTGGCTAGAAATTTATTTTTTTAACTCAAATATGTTAATTAATTCAAGCAAAACTTAAGAGTGCTTGCTATTTGCTAGGCACTGTTGTACGTGCTGAGACGCTGAGACTATGATGGTGAACAAGACAGACAAAGGTCCTTCCTTTTAAGGATATTACTCGAGGGAGATAGGCAGTGAACAAGTATACAGGGTCTGGAGCAGGTATGGGAAGCAGTATTAGGGTGGTCAGGAAATGCCTCCCTGGGAATGTGACATTGGGCCTGAGACCTACATGATGAGAAGGTGCTGGTGTTGTGATTTAGGAGAAGGATGCTTTTTTAGGCACGAGCACTAGCAAATGTAAAAGCTTAAAGGCTGGAATACCCATGTTTAAGGAACAGAAAAGCAGCCACTGCCCTGGCCAAAGGGTAGTAAGTGAAGAAAGAGGGTGTTGGTATATGAAATGCAGTCAGAGAGGTAGGCCAGATTGTATCGGCCCTCAGATTCTTTTTTAAAGTGTAGCGGGAAGCTATTTGAGGTGTTTTAAACAGGACAGTGCCATATGTTTTAAAAGATCCCTTTGGCTGTTGCGTGGGGAACGGATTGTAGGAACAGGTGGAAACCAGTTGGACTGTAGTAAGTAGTCCATGATAGCTGGACTAGACTAGTAGCAGAGAGATGGAGTGGACAGAAGCTAGCTGATAGATATATGATGTAGGTGGAGAGAAAAGAAGAAAGAACTCTGTTTTTTTGGCTTGAGCTCCTGGATAGCTCAGGTGTCCATTGAGCACCTACAACGTGCTGGGACTGTCCTAGGCCATTTACTGAGATGAGTGCTTTACTCACAGAAAGCTCTGCTTACAACAGACACAGTTCCTTCAGTTACTCACCTCCTTTTTGGCGGGGTTTACATCCTCAGGCAGCTCCTGATTCTGGTTTTTCAACAGAACTGCTATAGGGTAATATTTTGGCTCACCATCATTAGAATTCAGGGAGAGAGTTGCATTCTTCATGTCCTAGGTAAGATAAGAATGTAGGCACAGGGAAAAGACTCCTCAGTGTCTGTGGTTACAGTTCTGAATGTGTGTATAATATTTAACATTTTGATTTATGCCACTTCACCCTCTGCAATCATCTTTCAGAACAATGCTCCCGAAACCTGGTTGCATGTCAGAGTCATCTGGGAATAGAAAATATTCAGATTTGGGGGTTCCTGGGAAAGCTGATTCATTAAGTCCAAGGCAAGTCCTGTATAGCCAGTTTTGCATATATGCTGTGCGTGAATCTCATTTGAATATTGGGATCACATACCTTCTCTTGTTACTTTTATTTAGCCCTACATTTCCAGCCTTTTACAAAGTCTTCCAGCCTCTTAAAAAAGTCATTTAAAGGCTGGAACATTAACATTAGCTTTGGAATCTGAGTTTGTAGAGCACAAAGGACAGAATTGCCAGATGGTTTGAACACCTGGTGTCATGCACTCCTGAGGTTAAAGAACTGCTGGATTCCTGGCCAGAGGCTCCACTTCTTTTAACCATTAAAATAGCTGTAAATGACCTAAGTTTCTTTGGACTTCACTGTCAGAAATGAACAAAAATGTCATTTGGGTTAGAAGCTTATTATTTCTGAAAAATACTGCCAATGACTTTAATCTCTCCCACATGGCAGAGTTGAATAATACAACAAATTTTCATTTTTATTGTTGGTTTTTTTGTTGTTGTTGTTCATATGGAGTCTTGTTCTGTCACCCAGGCTGGAGTGTGCAGTGGCGTGATCTCAGTTTACTGCAACCTCGGCCTCCTGGGTTCAAGCAATTCTTCTGTCTCAGCCTCCTAAATAGCTGGGACTATAGGCGCATGCCACCCACCCACCTGCCCTGCAAATTTTCATATTTTTAGTAGAGATGGGGTTTCACCATATTGGTCAGGCTGGTCTCAGACTCCTGACCTTAGGTGATCCACCCGCCTCAGCCTCCCAATGTGCTGGGATTACAGGTGTGAAAAACCCCATTTTTGTTGTTTTTAAACAGCAAGTCTATTTGAAAACCTGGAAGTCAGGAAAATAAGGAACTCGGCTCTGACCTGCTTTTCTATTGATTACAAAAAATCTTTACACCAAAACAGACAACCATGGTAATACTAAGGAGGACATGAGTTTTGCCCATGAGCATCTGTCGCATTTCCAGGTTCTTTTTGACTCTGGTTGCCTGTATAGGTGGCTTCTCCAAGAGCAAACCCAACTTACAGTGGTGATTTGCATGATAGCAGCAGCATCTCCCAGCTCTTCTTTTAATTGTTGATATGATTTTCCTGCCTAAGAAGAAGAGATAGAAAACACAGGATGAGGTCTTTCTTATAGGGAAGGGACATCTTAGGCCTGGTCTGTATCTTCAAGAAAAACAAAAAAGCCAGGGATTCAGAAGACATTTCAAGGATAAGTAAAAATGAAAATACCCCCTTTTGGGTCCATGCAGGCTTGAAAGGTGCTTAAACATAATGTACATTCTTTGATGGTAACCCCTCAGTCCTCCCTTGCAGATTTAAGAAAGAGCAGTTGGGCCGGGCGCGGTGGCTCAAGCTTGTAATCCCAGCACTTTGGGAGGCCAAGGCAGGTGGATCACGAGGTCGAGAGATCGAGACCATCCTGGTCAACATGGTGAAACCCCGTCTCTACTAAAAATACAAAAAATTAGCTGGGCATGGTGGCACATGCCTGTAATCCCAGCTACTCAGGAGGCTGAGACAGGAGAATTGCCTGAACCCAGGAGGCGGAGGTTGCGGTGAGCCGAGATCGCGCCATTGCACTCCAGCCTGGGTAAAAAGAGCGAAACTCCCTCTCAAAAAAAAAAAAAAAAGCAGTTGAAGCTGGGCATGGTGGCTCACACCTTGTAGTCCCAGCACTTTGGGAGGCCGAGGCGGGTGGATCACCTGAGGTCAGGGGTTCGAGACCAGCCTAACATGGTGAAACCCCATCTCTACTAAAAATACGAAAATTAGCCAGGCATGGTGGTGCATGCCTGTAATCCCAGCTACTTGGGAGGCTGAGGCAGGAGAATTGCTTGAACCTGTGAGGCAGTAGTTGCAATGAGCCGAGATCATGCCATTGCACTCCAGCCTGGGTGATGAGCAAAACTCCATCTCAAAAAAAAAAAAAAAAGAGCTATTTGATTAGGAGTCAGGAAATGGCTTTCTTTGATTAACTGTGACTTTAGACAAATAACTTATCTTCTTAGCTTCCTTATCAATAAAACAGGAAACAATACTTCTACTGGCTATCAGGATTATAGTGAAGATCAAAAAGATGATGTGTATGGATACAGTTTATAAACTGTTTATACTTCACACTGCTTATTGCTGAGACCTGCTGTGAATTATCTACCTGGACTCACTGCAGTGGCAGGTGAAAAAGAGGAGAAAAGTAAAATGCAGGGAGTAGGATGGGAGTAGGGAAATGACGTCCTGGTTTCATTGAGCCATGAATCAGTACCCCACCTTCCCAATGAGCTGTTTTAAGCTACCACTCTCTTTTCTTACACTCCAAATGTTAGGGTCCCAGGCCAGGAACCAGCCTGTGAAGATGGGAGGCTCAAACCCCTGTTTAATGATCAGGATTGGTGTGTCGGGATCTCGGCCGCTGGGGTGAGTGTGCAGGTACTGCTGCGCTGTGGCAAGGGCACTCTCCTCCTCTGTGGCATTGGCCTCAACCCCAATCCACAAGAAC